GAACTTGTATTCAGTTCAAAAAATTATCTTGATGAAACCATATCAACTTCATGCATAAAAATATTGTTTTACAAACAGCAGATACAAGTAATTGAGTGAAAATGAATAAAAACTGCCAGTGGATACATACAAATAGCAAGATTCCAAGTTCCATACATTTAATATTTTTAAACTTATTTATAATCCATACCTTTTTCAGAGTATTTTTATAGGCATCTGTAACACAGCCAGATGTTAAGTAATTAATAGGAAGATTGTTTGACCAATTTCCATTCCAAAGTAACTTTTTCATGTTTCTTGGTATGCATTTTGACTGAAGCTTTGTATGCTGAATGTAGCAGATGAATGTTCCGATGTTTAATTTGAAGGAGGTCAATTATTAATTCTCAATGGATTACAATCCCAACAATGTCAAATTAACTCTCAAAGATGGTGCATTTGGTGATGCATTGCACTAATCATGTTTCAGATGCTTAATTAGTAATGTCAGTAATGCCATCTTTAACACAATTGATTCATTTATTTAATTTAATAACTTATTGATTGATAATTTAATTGTTCTCTCACGTTGACACTTAAGCATATTCAGTGGAAAATAGCTAGTCTATTGGAGCCATAAAAAATGCTTTTTGAATATGAATGGGTCAAGTCTCCATTCTACATTAATGTTTAAATGATAGAAAAATGAATGTAAAATCTATTTCATGTTTCAAAAATATGGAGTCTGAACCCAATTTATACAAAAATCAAACATTTTTAAAAAAAAAAAAATGCTTCAACAAACTCATTTATTTAAACCAAACGGAAACACTTCAATTGTAAGAAGACTTCCTAGTATATAGTGGTAAGCGCGTATATAACGATCGATGTGCATAACATCTAGAACAAAGAAAGTTCGAATCATAATTACATGAGGTTCTTATTTTTTCTTTTCACATACCTTATAAACAACTGGTAAATAATTTACCAATATTAATTCTGAAACAATAGAATAAAGGAATCAAATGTGTAAAAGATGATACTGACTACATTTTTTTTTAAATATAAATTTTCCACGAAAAATTTTAAAATTGAGAAGTATCTTCTCTCAGATCGGGGGATTGTCCTCGCCTTGTATGCCTCTGTTCTTTGACTTAAGAAATATTCCATCTATGATCTGCAATACATAAGACTCCCGATTGGTGTGACCAGTCAACAGGGGATGCTTACTCCTAAGCGCCTGATCCCACTTCTGGAATTTCAATGGATCCGTGTTTTATTCCATATGCTCACAGATATGTATTGTTTGTAGGGTTTTTGGAGATCGATCACTGTTCATTAACTTCACCTTTTTCCTCTCAAGTCATTGAGCACTGAGTGTTCCCCATAAATTTTAAAAAGATAAATAAATATTCAGAAAACCATATTTTTAGAAATATAATTCCATTGTGACTAGTTGATACCAGGATAACCCATTAAAGCTCGAGAGCTTATTTCCAATGGGGTCCTATCTTAAATAAGATAACAATACTATTACAATGTTTCATCATTAAAGCATTAAAACGATTTTTTGGCACTATAGTTTTAGCACTGTGTTGCTTACACATTAAATTTAGTATAAGTATGACAACATTGATAGGATCAATAAAATAATAAAATATGTTTTATAAATTAATACAGTACTGAAACATATCACTTTCAAGTTCTAAAATGCCATTTTGTAAGATAAAACTCTTTGTTTCTTAAAAGTACTCTTTCCTTTAGTACATTTAATAGAAGCTGGTAAAATATTCCAGTCCTTAATGCCATTATAGTAAAAAGTATCTGCTTGACATGCTTTCACATGAGGTATAAAAACAAGAGGCCCAAGATCCTTAACAGTCACCTGAGTATAATACAACAATTTAGAAGTTAAATACACTGAGGGATGAAGCTTTGTTGCCCTAAAGCAAGAGAAGTAGGAAAATCAGGATCAACAAAATAATTAGTCTAGTATTCAGTATCAACTCATAACTTAAGTTCTAATCTGTCCCCCACTTAATATTATCACCATGCAGACTATTAACAAACTATTAGTGCTTCTGTACTATTTTTAAACCCATATTAAGACCTCTAGCATTGACCTCTCTTATGGTCTTTGAAGAACTTTTAATAAGATAAGTTATTTTTGTCTCGTTTTTATTTATCTATTACTTACAGGTCTACCTGATTATTAAAACTAAGAAAGTACTTTTTGAATTATACAATAAACATTCTTGCATAATTATCTTATTCTATTAACCTTTCAAAAACATTATTTACAGTGATGAATGGAAAAGGGGAATAACTTCTCTCAGTAGAATACAAATTAATAGAGCCCTAGAGTTAGCTGCCCAGGACCAGAATGCTTAGACGAATTGTCCAGATGTTCAAAAATCTGGTAGAAATACGCTTACTTATATCATTTAAACTTTTACTCAGTTTGCTTTCGATATGCCCAGAAGCAGAGAAGAATTTCACAGGTACAATCCATTTTCACTACAGATTCAACAAAGCCTTACCCTAACACCAGAACCCAAGACCAAAGGTCAAGAAATTTACAAATTTGGAAGAGTTACCCTCATCATCATAACTATGGACTTCAAAGAATTAACACTTTTCCACTATATTATCAAAAGCCCCCCCCCCCCCTTCCTCGTTATGCCAGAACCCCTGACCCTAGGACCACAAGATTTAAAAATTCTGTTCAAAGCTCCCATCTTCATCATAGCTAAGCAATTTATTTATCAGCTCAACACTAAGGAGCATACAGGATTAGTTAATGATTAATTAATAAAAATTAATGCATTTTCACTATATAATTAATAGAGCCCCCCCCTCCCCCCCCCCTCCTCAAGAACCCCAAAAACTGAGGCCATGTATTTAAAAATTTTGGAAGAGGCATCCTTGCCTATCATAATCATGCACTTAGTTTGTTTAAATAATCTCCAGTAGCAGAGAAGAAGATTTTCAAAGAATCAATGCATTTTCACTATATAATCAATAGAGCCTCACCCTAACACCAGAACCCCTGACCCTGGGGCCATGAAATTCACAATTTTTGAAAAGGCATCATTATGCATCATAACCATGCACTTAGTTTGTTTAAATAATACCCAGGAGCAGAGAAGAAGATTTTCAAAGAATTAATGCATTTTCACTATATAATCAATAGAGCCCCGCCCTAACACCAGAACCCCTGACCCAGGGGCCATGGCTTTCACAATTCTGGAAGGGGCCCACCTCCTCATCATAACTATGTACTTAGTTTATCACCTTAATGCCCAGGAGCAGAGGAGAAGATTTTCAAAGAATTAATGCATTTTCACTATATAGTTGATAGAGCCCCGCCCTAACACCAGAACCCCTGACCCTGGGGCCATGAAATTCACAATTTTGAAAGAGGCACTCTTGCTCATCATAACTATGTACTTAGTTACTTTATTTAATACCCAGGAGCAGAGAAGAAGATTTTCAAAGAATTAATGCATTTTCACTATATAATCAATAGAGCCCCGCCCTTACACCAGAACCCCTAACCCCAGGGCCATGAATTTCACAATTTTGGAAGAGGCACTCTTGCTCATCATAACTATGTACTTAGTTACCTTATTTAATACCCAGAAGCAGAGAAGAAGATTTTCAAAGAAATAATGCACTTTCACTATATGATCTATATAGCCCCACCCTGGGGCCAGAACCCCTGACCCTGGGGCCATGAATTTCACAATTTTGAAAGAGGCACTCTTGCTCATCATAACTATGTACTTAGTTACTTTATTTAATACCCAGGAGCAGAGAAGAAGATTTTCAAAGAATAAATGCATTTTCACTATATAATCTATAAAGCCCCGCCCTAACACCAGAACCCCTGACCCTGGGGCCATGAATTTCATAATTTTGGAAGAGGCACTCTTGCTCTTCATAACTATGTACTTAATTACCTTATTTAATACCCAGGAGCAGAGAAGAAGATTTTCAAAGAAATAATGCACTTTCACTATATGATCTATATAGCCCCACCCTGGGGCCAGAATCCCTGACCCTGGGGCCATGAATTTCATAATTTTGGTAGAGGGCTCAATGCTTATTACAATGATGCCAACAGTTTGACTGCTTGATGTCCAGGAGTAAAGAAGAAGATTTTTAAAGATTGCATTATTTTTGGTGGTTTTAGCCCCACCCCTCAGGCCCCAGGGGGGGCAGGGACCATGAAATTCACAATTTTTGTTCCCCTTCACCCATAGATGCTATATGCCAAATTTGGTCGAAATTGGTTAAACGGTTTCAGAGAAGAAGCTAAAAATGTTCAAATGTTAACGCACGCCGACGGACGAGAACGGATAGCAATAGGTCACCTGAGTGACTCAGTAGACCTAAAAATCTTCATTAGAGGATGCTCTGGTGTTGCGTGAAGACACAGCTTATCTTCAAGTAAAATTTTCACTTAGATAAGATGGCGCATAACCATGATAGATGTTATACACATGGTTTAATCCGAGTTGTCATACCCAGTCTTCTATATTTAAATAATTTAATGTACTAAGCACTTTATATTTTATTCATGATATTATAATATCATTTTATACGGTAAATGCCTCAACTCTGGGCTCTTCATTTTGAATGGATTGGGATTTTATTCATAAAATTACACTTGAGTTTTTGTTCAGATTAACACACTAAAGTTATTTCAGCATCCAAGTGAATTTAGTTGGAAAAAAAGGATTTTTTAAAAATATATATATATATATCACCTGTAGTTATACTATTAGGAACATCTAATAATTTGCAGTTGCCACTAGGAAAGACTTTGCATGTATTTCTGTTCCCATGTATTCTTCTTTTTGATTCTGAACAGGATATATATGACTTGTATAAACATAGACTAGATGACCCCCTTTTTTACATTGCCTCGGTGAATTTATAGAACTTGTTTCAATAACCATCCTGAGTTTATATCGAGTTCCTAGTAATACTGAATTGAGAAAAAGAAAACATTTGAATAATTTCTTCAATATTTTATTATTTTTTATTTGATATTTTTTAACATTTTGTCATCATAAAAATATTTCACCTGTACACTTGTCTTCAGATTCTGTACAGGTCAACAACAGAAAAAAAAAACATGCTGCCAAGTTTTGTTAAAATTAATCAGTATTTCAATGTTGCTGATAGACAAACATACAATGGGAAATCCGAGAACTTTTGCATGTCCAACATTTATCAAAACCAACCTTACCAATTTGCCTCCAGATTTTTCTATTGACCAATGTCATTTTCTCATTGCGGACATGAAAAGAATCTTCATTTCAAACAGAGATCATATGGCTGGCAACATTGAAACACTTTCATAATAAATAACACCCCTTCACAGTAAAACAGTGATTTAAGTGATTGATAAACATGTGAGATTTTCACAATGCTTCCATTTATCACCCTGGTTTAACATCACACTAATGTTTTAACTGCGTACATTGTGTGAATCTTCTAGGCTTTAATAAAGTCTAAATGTAAACCAAGGCATTCATTTGAACCTAAGTAGCACAATTTAAAATATAATAATACCATTAAAAATGTTATCACAACATTTGGGCTTAATGAGAAACATAATGACCCTTAAAAAAAATCTAAATTTCTCTTTTTCTCACACTTTTGTTTTATCCATAGTAATCTTAATATTAAAGTCAATTTAAAATTCATGATTTAAATAAAATTCTCCATTTCATTGCCTGAAATTTTAACATTTAACACATTTGAACACAAGGCGCCCTTTGACATACAATGCGACATGCGAAAATTTGCATTAAATACAAATATTGCACAAATGCAAAAACTAAGAATTTGAATCAGTTCACATGTTAACATGGGCAGGATATGTAGGTAAAGCTGTCGTTTATGTGAGCAGATAATCCGACACACACACCAACATTGTCAACCTAATAAGGCCAACGTAGTCTGTAGGAGTTTCGTCCCTTTGGAAATAATACAAATTAAGACTGTCTGTCAGAGCCATTGTAAGACTACAGGAGCAGTGCATCATTTAGACAGAAACACATCAAAACTGCTAGCCGCATACCACACATCTACATGTGGTGTTCTTCTGAAAAATGGAACCAAGATACACCCTCTCCATAAAATGTCCACTTCCCAGGCCATACTGCTGCCATTTATACGTGTGTTTCCACAATGCCCAAAACTCATCACAATTAAATCAACAGTAATATCTATCAACAATAAAAATGCATTAAATACAAGTAAATACACAAAATAATAAATTTCTCTCCAGAATGTCTGCCTCCCAAGGGGGGCATAATTGACATGCTATTCATTATGTTTAAGCAATTAAAAAATAAATTAACATTTGCTCTGAATCCATTCATTTCCACCACTGATTCCTAGAGGAATACTTCAGTGGAGATTGCTGCCTAGGGTCTGACAAGCACTTGAATTAGAGCACATTACTCCATAAATCAGCCTCCAAACATAACATTCTGCCATTGTAAGCGAGATCTGAGCAGTCAATATTGCAACTTTAAACACAAATATAAAAATTTTGATCAGATTAATATCAAGTCATGTGTCCTTTGGTTCAAATACTGACCAGCACTTTTTTTGCAAAGAGGAAAAGTTTTGTAAGATCTTCAGGGTCATGAGAAAGAAAACAATTTTGATACAGATCTAAATTTCCCAGTGGCTACGTGAACGTGGTATGGCTCTGGCTTGTTGTTGTGAGTAGTTCACTGAATGCACGCTCAAAGTTCTGCTTGAGTTCAGCATAAGTCACCACTAACACACTCTGTTCATCTCTTGACGTCAGACAAATCCTCTCTGGGGAGCCCGAGTCCAACTGAAATGCCATTAAAAAATGATCATTTTGTGGTGTAATGAACTCTAATAATTTTATGAAGTTGTATTAATCAGATAAATTTATCCTGAGACATTTACACACTTGCTGTAGCATGAGCTATCTTAGTCTTACTGTGGTGAGCTACATTTGTGTGAATTCTACAGTTAATGCATTTACATTCTCCCTTCTTACAAAACAGAAGTATATGTCCCATTCTTTATTTTAATGAGACATGGGAAAATGAGGGCTGTATTTCTTGAAAGAAAGAAAAAGACTTTATGACCCATTGTTTTCCTATGCTATTTTGACACTCGTCTATATGGGCCATATTCCATCATTGTAACACCCGTGTTCTTGTTCTTACCTTATTCAGACACTGGACAATGTGGGCCATATCAATCCAGGGGGCACCTGTCTTATCAACTGTGTTCTTACCTTATTCAGACACTGAACAATGTGGGCCATGTCAATCCAGGGGGCACCTGTCTCATCCACCTGTGCTCTTACCTTATTCAGACACTGAACAATGTGGGCCATGTCAATCCAGGGGGCACCTGTCTCATCCACTTGTGTTCTTACCTTATTCAGACACTGGACAATGTGGGCCATGTCAATCCAGGGGGCACCTGTCTCATCCACTTGGTGGAAAAGGTAATCCCTGAACAACTTCAGCATGTATCTGTCCCCAGTCTCTGACCACTGCATGTCCAGGTTATATCTGAAAGTGTCATATTCACATACCATTGAGTATAAGGTTTGCATTGCTGTCTTACACAAAATAGGTTGCTGTGAAAAAATCCCCCCCCCCCCCCCCCAAACCATGCAAACTGATTTCTTAATATAACTGATTCCTTGTGAAGTTTTTTCAGCAAGCATCACCATTACACTCCATTGCAACAAACGAGCCACTCAAACAATTCTTTTGATAAAGTATACAACAGTTTGCAATTTTTAAGGAAAACAATTTTGAAATATTACTAAAATTTCATCTGTGCACACTCTATCAAGGTTTTCATCTCAGTTATTTATTTTAGTCAGATCAATTCCCAAATGTTACTTACTCTGGTCTTTCGTTAATAGTTCCCAACTTGGCCAGAAGACGGAATAAGCGTCCATTTTCAACTTCCTGTATAACATGTTAACAATTGTCAAATATTCAAAAGACAATGTTCAGACATTTCAACAATGGCTTCATTAAAACATTTAAAGTAAGAAATTCTACAATTTATTTTAAAGACTGTAGATGGAATCAGGAAGAACATTCTATCTGCCAGTTTACCTTGGTTAATTCATTCTCGATGACATCACTTCTCAACTGAGCCGAGTCAAGCTGGGTGTAGAATCGAGCCCCAATCATGGGCATGATGTCATTAATACTGCGAGGTCGACTCTGATTGGTCAATAGGTACCTACAATTGACCAATTGTGAGAAACAATGCAAAGTCTACCAAATTAATGACAACATTACCATAACATACAAATCAATTACATGGAACACATGTAAATTGAACATACAATCTTAGAGATTCTATATTTCTAACGTTACATTGATGTTAAATAAGGTCTAAACTATAATTTCACCACTGCAAAATTTGAGGGTATCACAAAAGCTACAATAAAAGTATCACAGAAATTGATTTTTATTTTTTGTGAATATGCATATGCAGCTTCGAAAACCTGATAAAAAAAAAAATGGCTTTCAATTATTTTCTAACTTTAATGTTACTTCACAGTTGCAAGGAAAAGAAAGCATTTTTATTTCATTATTACTGTTTTACCTTGCACAGACTTGGTGTTTTGTTCTGTATTCTGACAAAAAAGTGTTGACTTACAGGAAGAAATTTTTCAGGTCAGCTGAGTAATTCCTGGCGATTAGCTCCATTGAGTTCTGGAAGTTGTCTCTCTTTATAGCCATAACAGTGTTACAGGCCAAAGCCAGCACAACTTTACCCAGGTACATCAGATCTTCTTGCTGTAATACAGGTATATACAATTATTCGACCTATCTACATTGAACATGTATAATTAAGGTACAGTGAAACTTGTTGAATCCGGATGTTGTGCATTCCGGCATGTTGTTCCGTCCGGTGTGATATTCTAGTCCCTTGAATTTTCTTTATAATTTATGTTTAATAAATGTTGTTCAATCCGGATCTTGTCTATTCTGTAAACCGGCCGCTATTTAAAGAACTAACTGCTCATAATAAGTACAAATTATCTCCTCTAATCCAGCTACTTATTTTTACCTGTGCCCGCTGGTCATTAGAGAAGTGCCGCGTGGGGTAATTGTCCCGTTAATGATCTATCCTGCATCGACAGTTTAGATTTTAACAAATGTGATAAAAAAATCATTAATCGCTCAAGTAAGGCGAGGAAACTTGCAAAAGAACGAGTGATAGTGACGGTTGTGTGTAGCATTTCTGTAGAAAAACTTAGAGACTTATTCATGACCTCCTTTCTACTTTCGTTTTGCATGCACAACGTGCAACTCGAATTACTTCCCTATGTATCGGTAGTTTACAACGACCATAACGACAGAAGATTTTGGTCAAATATTCATTATAACATTTGAAATTAACAAATACACTGTCTAAATATTCAAACATATTAATTTTAAAAGAAAGAAATTAATTAGGAATCTGTCCCTATCAAAATAATATTTACAGCTACGATGAGGTTTTGGAGTGTGTTTAAAACATTTAATGATTTTCAAATTTAATAAATGACCAAGAAATATTATATTTCATTACTGAATAAAAAACTTGAACAGAAATGAAAATTCTGAAGAACAGAGTTCAAAACAAACGAAATAGACGATTTTTCAAGTGAAACGTAAAAAATGACACATTTGATCAAGTATTTATTTACCACTCTTTGTTTATATCTATGTAATTTTTAACTTGCTATAACGGTTTAATTTTCTCCAATCCGGATATTGTCTAATCCAGCCAAAAACTTTGGAACCACTGGTCGTCGGATTAGACAAGTTTTACTGTATTTGAAAAGCAAAAGAATTAGCACTAAAGGCATGCATTTTACATTTATGTAAACCCAGGTTTATTATTATAGATTTTATCAACTGACTTTATTTTATACCTGATAGTGCTGTATGGCTACTAAAGGGTTTCCCTGACTGTCAAACGTCAACACGTCCAAAATACCAACACAATTTAACCGTATCCTAGAACACAATATCAAACACTTACAATTACACCAACATTGTTTTTGAAAGTTCAAAAATAACAAAATACTCTAAAAATAAATCTTTCAAGATCTTAATACCTATAGAATTACTTGAACTAAGTTTGTCATGAAAGAACTTGATTTACATTATTGTTGTAGACATTTACCTTGAATCTTCCATGTTAATGCGTGCCTTGATTTACATTATTGTTATAGACATTTACCTTGTATCTTCTGTGTTAATGCATACCTTGATTTACATTATTGTTATAGACATTTACCATGTACCTTCCATGTTAATGCGTACCTTGATTTACATTATTGTTATAGACATTTACCTTGTATCTTCCATGTTAGAGCATACCTTGATTTACATTATTGTTATAGACATTTATTGTGTATCTTCCATGTTAATGCGAACCTTGATTTACATTATTGTTATAGACATTTACCTTGTATCTTCCATGTTAGAGCATACCTTGATTTACATTATTGTTATAGACATTTATTGTGTATCTTCCATGTTACTGCGTACCTTGATTTACATTATTGTTATAGACATTTACCTTGTATCTTCCATGTTAATGCATACCTTGATTTACATTATTGTTATAGACATTTACCTTGTATCTTCAATGTTAATGCGTACCTCGATTTGCTGTAGATGAGAATCTTGCTGGGGTCCATGGTTCTAAATGCCAGGCCAGCAGCATGTATGGCCCTCAGAGCCGAGCTCAGCTGGACGACATAAGCCCAGATCATGCTCTCTGGAAGTAACCCTGCGTGCTGCCTCGGTCCGTTTAGTCCTTTAGAAATACATATAAAATACATCAAATCAATACGATAATGCAAATGTTTACATAAATTCTTAGACTAATGTATCACAAATTTACACATCTAAAAGACAAGCAGTACTACTTCCCAGTATTTCAGGTAAAATAATCAATCCCAGATGTTCTGAGTTGTCTACCTTTGTTGCCGGAGTTGTATGACCTGGATGACCCCCCACCCTCCATGTTAAATGAACTGTTGTATCCATTCATTCCACCAGGTCCACTGAAATGCTTCAACGTCAGAGTCTCCGCTCCAGGGAAAAAGTCATACACAAACACAATGGCTGAAATCATCAAAATCACAAGGATAAGAAACTGACACAAGCTGAAATTTCTTTATCTGAGTATCAATAATTTTTTTCTAATTTTACTTGCAATATCCCCAATAATTAAAACATGTATGAATAAGAAAACAATACATAAGATTATCTCCCTTTAGAAATTAAATCTGCCATTTAGAGAGAAAGGATAGGGTGATTGCAGTACACTTACAATTATCCCCAAAAGCTTTAGTAGTGAACACCTCTCGCAGCTGTACAATGTTTGGGTGGTACATCTTTTTCCACATGTCAATAATGCTCATACATTTGGTGTTTGACAACCTGAAGCCTGCAAAAGAAAACAATTTTCATTTTTGTAAATTATTGGCACAATTAAATTTGAAGTTCTTAAATATCATTTAACATGAATTAGTTCTTATGTGTTTCTCCTTTGTCATCAGTATCAAAAGGTTAATCTAAAAAGCTAGAACTTCACTTTGGATTTTGTCCAGCTCACTGTAAAATGTCTAATTGTTTTTGTTTTGTTTTTTTTTTGTTTTGTGCAAAATATTAGCTTATATAATTCAGAGATTAAAATGAAAAAGGTAAATTCTTAAATCATCAGCATAGTTGAATATTTTTCCTAATTAAAGGAACAAATCTTGCAATTTTTTAATACAAAAAATTTCCTTGCATCTAAATAATGTTGCGAGTATAATGTGCTTTTATTAGCAATATATTTACACATAGTTGTGACCCTTACCATGAACTCGGCGCAAACAGTAAGTCAGCCCGTCTTTGAGATTGACCGCTTTATAACATGTGGTGGGGTAGCCGAAGGTGTTGGATTTCTGCATTGGGTTGGCAAGTGGGGGTTCTAAGGGGAAAAGGTTATAGTAGTTGTCCACTTCTGAGGGAATATCTGAAATCATAAAAGCATTTTTTTTTATCACTTTACAAGGCATCAGGAATTACTTCTGAAAAGTTTTTCAAAAAAAAAAAAAATCCTTATATTCCAAAGTTTCTAAAAAGAGCAAAATCAAGGACTAATTAACATTCAAGAACAGTATTTCTAGGAGTGAAACAGTTTCACCAAGGTATTTTTGTCAAATAATCAAGATCAGTAAATTCATCCTAGTCATTTTCTGCTAGTCAATTTTTCCATAAATTAAGTCACTGCTTTCACTGCAGTGAAACAAGACATAACAACTTTAAATAAGATATGTATCGCATCATGAAGATGGCATATCACTTCACCTCTAGTATACACAATCAAACCTCAATCTCTTAAACTTGATGAGACCGGTGTTCGAGATGCCGAAGCTCAATTGTAAATAAAAAATAAACATTTTTATTTGGCCCATTACCTGTAACTTTGGTTGTGTCCAATTGTGCCATCGTTAAAGCATGTCTATTCAGGATATCCTGTTAAAGCACATTTACATTTGTTAAATATATCGGTAAACCTATATGTTCCAAGGGACAGAACTCTAAACAGCATCATTTGGAATGTGTACAGAAAGATGTTGAAATAACTAACTTAATATGATATGCTCAAATCAATTTTTTTTTCCCTAGTTACTGCTTAAGATTAAAACGGAAAATTTAATTTACAAAATGTGTATACAAGTTTATAGCAAAGTCCAGGGATGGACAATTTTTCTTTTATAAACATTATTCATTATTTCCTCTAAGTTTCTAATACTATTCGAAACCGAGGGGAATGAAAATTACGTCGCTATAAGCGTAAATTCATTATAAGTGTGTTCGCTATAAGTGTGTATTACTGTACTTGAATTTTCTAACTATATAACATTTGTACAAGTGTGTGAATGGAATCACAGATAAGTACTGCTATACAATAACTTAATATTACCCACCATTTTGAGTTCGTCTGGCATGTGGAACTGTGGCATGTTCTTTTTGACTGTTAAGTGGGCTATGTGTGGTGGGAGACTCGGAAACATGGAGAAATTCGGCAGTTGCTAAAAAAACATCACATATTTATCATCTTAATTTGTTATCATTTCTCTACCTTTTTTGTCAGGATTGACATTACACTTACAAGAGCTCCATAGAAAATAAAATTCATAAAATCATAAGTAATTCTCAGAGAATATAAACCAACATGACATATTAACTGTGATGCTGTGTAAATCTTTCATATCAAAAGAAGAAAATCAGGAAATTGTTGCAAAAAACTAAGATACATGTATTTAAGACAACCATATCTTTCGATCACATTTATGTCAAGAAAATGAACATTATTCAAACTATATTTTTTTATGCTTACAGCTTAATACATTTGAATTAAAGAGAAAAATCAACAGGCCTCCAAACAATATCTTGAATTGCCTGAGACCTAAGAATCTTTGGCACTTCTGTCTGGGCCCACCACAGTGTAATACTTACATTGGCCTCCTGCTGGGGGTTAAAGTCCTCAGGGGAATAAAAATATGTAGTGCCACCTACGTTCTCCTAAAAAATTAAGATGAAAAATTCAATAAAACATAAGAAATATGAACTGTTTCAGAAAGATTAAATGATATACTTCGGGATGTTTACATTTACAAGTATATGTATATATACTAATTCAAAGAATTCCATATTATGAATTATGCTGATATGCACATCTCTGTGCTATGAAAGCAGTATTCACAATCTGTGGAATTAGGATGAAAGCTTATGCTAACGAGTGTATTCTTTCCTAGTATACATTTGAAATCATTGCTTTTGATAAACTGTTCTTCTAACATTCAAATACTCTCAGTGTGAGATAAATCTGGGAAATACCTCTCCCCCCCCCCCCCCCCCCCAAGTCTTCGTTTATTTAAATGTATGCTGGAACTGTTTGATTTTGTTTGGTGTGTTGATTCCCCCCCCCCCCCCCCTCCATCTTTGTGTAGTTACTTGTATGGTGATACTTTTTGACTTTTAGAGCGTGCTGGGTAATAACCCCCCCCCCCCCCCCCAACCCCCAATCTGTAGTTACCTGTACAGTTGCACTTTTTGATTTTTGGGATATATTAGGGACACCCCCCCCACCCCCCGAATTTTTATGTTGTTACCTGTATGGTGGCACTGTTTGGTTTTTTGGGTGTGTTGGGTATCACCCCCCTCCCCATTCTTTATTCTTTATGTAGTTACCTGTATGGTGGCACTGTTTGATTTTTTGGGTGTGTTGGTTTGCTTGAGGGGTGCTATAGGGGAGGCAGTCCGTCGCATCATAAGGGGGGAGTTGGAAGGAGACAGGTGAGGGCTATGGCTTGGACTGGTGGTGGGCAGACTCACCCCACCTGAAAAAGACCAACATTAATCATATATATATATATATATATATATATATATATATATATATATATATATATATATATATATATATATATATATATACACACACATAGATACAGTCAAACCTCTCGAACTCCATGGGACCGAGGAAAAACTTCGAAATATCTGATGATTCAAGATATTGAAGGTAAAATACGTAAAGAATAAGTCGTTGGGACTTCCAAATCACTTCGACAAATCCATGGTATTTGAGATATCAGTGTTCGAGATACCGAAGTTCAACTGTATCTTTAAGTACTTGCTGCATTACAAGTCAACGGTTAATGTCAATCAAAATACACTGAAAGAACAACATAGGAGTAACCAGCAACTTAATTATCTTATTACATTGCACAGGTACTTGTGGACAGGACCCCCCCCGATATTCAACCCCTGGGCATGTTGGACATTTTTTTCACAAATTATATTTTTTACACTTATTCATCATGTGTACCATAGGAAAAAATCGTGAAAAACCCAAAATAATCGTTCCACACAAAAATACTCCACTATATACATTATAAGAGAGAAAGGTATGCCACTCCGATTTGTTTACGTTGTACCCCCACTGGTCTTTCTGGGTTTAAAAACATGTATTTATTTTATTTTAACCTAAAATGTCGGTTCACACTGTCTCTACATATATTTCTGTCTTAGTTCATGCTATCGGATTGACTCTGCGTCTCGTAAGAATTCCACAATTTCTCCTTAAACAGCATTGCAGTCAGTGCGTTGAAAAATCCTTAGGTAAACGCAACGGAAGTGCATAGAGAATATATTACCTTTTATGATAACACCCGAGAGAGATTATTACGTCACCAAAACTCTCTCGGACGTTATCGTAATAAGTGATACATTCTTGGTGTACTTCCGTGCTTCATTGGTAACTACATGTATCTCTCATATACTGATGAAATGAGATTGTTCTCTACATACTGTCATAAAATAAATAGACAAAAACACCTCACACTTCAATACTTGTATGCAGTAACTACAGGGGATTAGTTTTGACACTTACTCTCTGCAGGCACTAAAGGAGGGGTGGGTTTTAGAGAAACTAGCTGAGAGCTTTGGTTTCAGACACTTATTTGTAGGCACTAAATGAGGGGTGGGTTTATAGATACTAGACAGTCAGGGGTGAGACTGAAATCCGTCATTTCTGAAAAATGATGGATAATCGTCATATTAACTAACTACGTATTTTCGTCATTTTTGTCAATATGACTTACTATCGTCATATTTTCTTTTTCAACTTAATTCTTCTATCCTGGTTACATAAAAGCGAAATTTGAATTCACCGCTGAAAGAAGAGTGTTTATGCAAGTTTCATTTCATCCGGGTCACTAATTACTGCCGACCACGTGCGTTAGAACATCAACATGTAAGGTGAAAGTTATTATTTAGCGGTAAAATGTCGAATTTTTTTAGAACTAATTCGCCATTTTTACATGGCTTTTAGCCCTGTAAAAACATATAGTACACCGTCTGGAAGAATACGTACTTGTAGAGAAAAGTCTCGACAAAAAGTTAAAGCCATAAAAAAGAAGTGTGCCCCGTAAAACAAGTGAGATATTTCAGTGCGCCAAGACCCTCCATTTTGAAAAAAGATGGAATATCGTCATTTTCGTCTTCTTTCCTATTTAATGCAAATAAATTGACAAATAACTCTTCCATTCTTATTTTTGCTTGGGAAATTTGTACTGTCAACATAACCAGTATTGTAGTCAACTGTATTAGAGAAATGAAGTTTGTTTACGATGTTTTTTGTCCTTTTTTCAGTTGGTGGATCTAACATTTTTCAAAGAGAGGTAACTCGGTATTCTACGAACACTCTAAATTTTTATGACTGTTTTTCGTCATTTTCTTAAAAATGACGAGTTTAAGTCATAATAAAAATTTTATTTTATGACTAAAAATCGTCATTTTAAAAATGACGGATTTCAGTCTCACCCCTGACTGATAGATGAGAGCTTTGGTTTCAGAAACTTACTTGTAGGCACTAAATGAGGGGGTGGGGTGTTTGACATCATCATATTGTTGGGTGGTACCCCAGCTGCCATGCTGTGATTTTCCTGACCTCCAGACATCATCATGGGTGGTGGTGGTGGTGGCCCATTAGTATGGGGCGGGACGTATCCATTTCCATTGATAGTGGAGAAGTTAGGAGAGCTAGCACTATGGCTTAAAGATGACGACTTTGGGATAAACTCATTGGCAATTGGGTTTGGTCCCTGTAAAAACAAGTCACAGGCCAATAAACAGAAAGAACAATTCTATCATTCATTGATTGTCAAATCTATGGGTGTAAGGATATACCAATATACTGGTATATTGTGATACATTTTGCTTGAAGTAGGTTATAGGAAAAGGAATCAGGAATACCAGTTTTTCCAAACAGGTTTGAAAATTAGAATTCGCATCACGTACATATAAGTGTTTATAACATGTAATAGGTTTTTTGAGAAAAAGAATTTAGTATAATATAGATTTAGTATATGTAGATTGATAAATACATTTATTACTAACAATAGTACAGTGACAGGGGTTTTTCGCTGCCCCATGTAGGGCCAAATTTAGGCCCCATTCCAAATCACAAAAACGCTCCTCTTTCCCAAATATGAATTGTGTAGTAACTATTCATATGCACCAAAATTTGTAACAAACTTGTGTGAAACAAGCATGGTCCAGGTATGAAATTAATGGAATATTAAACTAAAATTTTCAGAGCATGATTCTGATGATGACTGTTTGTTAAATGATATATTCTCTGATTGACAGTCCTCAATATTTTTAAATAAAAAATCAAACATATTCATTTGTATTGTTTACTTCTTGAATATTGTCATGAGGCCAACTTTAAAATAATGTTTGTTTGCCCTCTCCAGACTCAGGATGAAAATATTGGGTTGGTAGGTAGGTGAGAAATGTTTTTCCCCTAGAAAATTTCAACACCAATGCTGAATTTTCAAAATCTATTTTCTGGAATGCATAAAAAATACTTGCTTTCTGGAGGTTAAAAAAAGTTTTGAGTCGGGTCATTTTAATTTTAGCCAGTCGGTCGGGAGAGGGCAACCAACAATTTTCTAATGATGTCCGAGTTATAATTTCTCAATTAGTAATAAATAATCATAAAATTCCCAGTTCCAAAGGCTCATACCCCTTTCTGAAAATGTGATAACTTAAAAATAAGCGATATGTATCAATACATGTCATGATAGGCAAGTCTAAGTATTGATATATTGATACACTTTTTGTGTATAATACTTGTCCTTATGTTAATCAGACAGTATTTAATGTAGCTATTTATTTTAAATCTTACCTTAAACTTTAAAGGAATAAAATCCATGAGTGAGGGAATAAGGAAGGTAAAAACTGAAGCAATATTCAAATACACAAACATAGGTAATCAAAGATTACGAAGCTCACCTCGACGAAGGCTATCTATAAGTAAGGCAAATCTCACATCATATTTTTTCTAGTTAGTGTTCATCCCAAAATCAATATCCATACAAGTTTGGTTTAAGAAGGACTTATAGATACTTGGAAATAGACCTGCTCAAAAAACTTCTAACCTGTTTACTAATCAAGAAAATTTTGGACAGTTCCAACATCCAAAGCAAGTCTGGAAGTTTTCATCCTTAGATGTACCATCCAAGCTGTTTAATCATAACATGCCATAGTATTATATAGCTACTCCAAAAACATTACTCTGGTCACCCATCTGGAAAATGTAGGTCAGATTCAGAATCCAAAACAAGTCTGAAAGTGTCCATCCTAAGATACATCATCCATGCTAATTTGATTAAAATATGGCTAAAATTCACTCATCTGGAAAATCTAGGTCAGATTCAGCATCCGAAGCAATTGTGGTAGTGTCCATCCCTAGATGCATCATCCATGCAAGTTTGGTCCAGGTAGGGCTTATAGTTACTTGGGAATAGACCTGCTCCAAATATAGGTCAGATCCAGCATCTGAAACAAGTGTGGTAGTGTCGATCCCTAGATGCATCATCCATGTAAGTTTGGTCCAGGTAGGGCTTATAGTTACTTGGGAATAGACCTGCTCCAAATATAGGTCAGATCCAGCATCCGAAGCAAGTGTGGTAATGTCCATCTCTAGATGCATCATCCATGCAACTTTGGTTCAGGTAGGGCTTATAGTTACTTGGGAATGGACTTGCTCCAAAAACTTTAACCTGGTCTATCATCTGGAAAATCTAGGTCAGATCCAGCATCTGAAGCAAGTGTGGTAGTGTCCATCTCTAGATGCATCATCCATGCAAGTTTGGTTCAGGTAGGGCTTATAGTTACTTGGGAATGGACCTGCTCCAAAAACTTTAACCTGGTCACTCAACTGGAAAATCTAGGTCAGATCCAGCATCTGAAGCAAGTGTGGTAGTGTCCATCCCTAGATGCATCATCCATGCAAGTTTGGTTCAGGTAAAGCTTATAGTTACTTGGGAATGGACCTGCTCCAAAAACTTTAACCTGGTCACTCATCTGGAAAATCTAGGTCAGATCCAGCATCTGAAGCAAGTGTGGTAGTGTCCATCCCTAGATGCATCATCCATGTAAGTTTGGTTCAGGTAGGGCTTATAGTTACTTGGGAATGGACCTGCTCCAAAAACTTTAACCTGGTCACTCAACTGGAAAATCTAGGTCAGATCCAGCATCTGAAACAAGTGTGGTAGTGTCCATCCCTAGATGCATCATCCATGCAAGTTTGGTTCTGGAAAGGCTTATAGTTCCTTGGGAATGGACCTGCTCCAAAAACTTTAACCTGGTCACTCATCTGGTAAATCTAGGTCAGATCCAGCATCTGAAGCAAGTGTGGTAGTGTCCATCCCTAGATGCATCATCCATGCAACTTTGGTTCAGGTAAGGCTTATAGTTACTTGGGAATGGACCTGCTCCAAAAACTTTAACATGGTCACTTATCCGGAAAATCTAGGTCAGATCCAGCATCTGAAGCAAGTGTGGTAGTGTCCATCCCTAGATGCATCATCCATGTAAGTTTGGTTCAGGTAGGGCTTATAGTTACTTGGGAATGGACCTGCTCCAAAAACTTTAACCTGGTCACTCAACTGGAAAATCTAGGTCAGATCCAGCATCTGAAACAAGTGTGGTAGTGTCCATCCCTAGATGCATCATCCATGCAAGTTTGGTTCTGGAAAGGCTTATAGTTCCTTGGGAATGGACCTGCTCCAAAAACTTTAACCTGGTCACTCATCTGGTAAATCTAGGTCAGATCCAGCATCTGAAGCAAGTGTGGTAGTGTCCATCTCTAGATGCATCATCCATGCAAGTTTGGTTCAGGCAGGGCTTATAGTTACTTGGGAATGGACCTGCTCCAAAAACTTTAACATGGTCACTCATCTGGAAAATGTAGGTCAGATCCAGCATCTGAAGCAAGTGTGGTTGTGTCCATCCCTAGATGCATCATCCATGTAAGTTTGGTTCAGGTAGGGCTTGTAGTTACTTGGGAATGGACCTGCTCCAAAAACTTTAACCTGGTCACTCATCTGGAAAATCTAGGTCAGATCCAGCATCCGAAGCAAGTGTGGTAGTGTCCATCCCTAGATGCATCATCCATGCAAGTTTGGTCCAGGTAGGGCTTGTAGTTACTTGGGAATTGACTTGCTCCTAAAACTTTAACCTGGGACGCCGACGCTAACGCCGACGCCGACGCCGACGCCAACGCCGGGGGTATAGCATAAGCTCATCTCGACTTCGTCGAGGTGAGCTAAAAATTAAACACAATGGTATACCTTAGTACTGCTTGGAATCTGTAGGTTTAAAGCTGCAAAATCTGAAGCCAATCCATGATCCATCCTAGCACTGTCTGACCGGAAGTTATCTACCCTCATCTGTCCCCCTGGGGGACAGTCTAGTCTTCCCTCCCCAGAGGCCAAGTCCATACGAGGGGGATTACCAGGACCAAAGTTTGGCCCATGGCCAGAGGGACCCAGCATGCTCCTCCCAGGGCGTCCCAAGGGGGGTCTCTGGAAAATTTTACATGTATCTTTCTTTTGCAGAAATATCAGGTAATACAATAGCTTTTGCTTTAAATTTTGTGAAGACTTATAAATAGTTTATATTTTTGTTCAAAATTTTACATATTTTATATAACCTCATAAATAAAACATGAAAAATGTTGCTTCTGCGATATTATTTTCTTCACATAATATGACATTTTATGAAATCTTAAGATTTTTTTATTTTTGCAAAACTTACAACAGAGAAAGGGTTAAAATCAGGAACAGTATTTTCTCCTCCAAATGTTGCATTGAAGTACTGATCCCCATTGTTCCCTAAAGAATCTGGCATACCTGAAAATTCATATAATTAATATTTATATATGCTAACTATGTACATACTGAAATAAACATTGCAATAACCCTCCCTAAATTAAATCTATGATTGGCCCTAGAGATGTGCCATTACACAAACCTGCTACATCTCCATTTAATCCAATTCTCTTTATATAAAACATTAAGTCAAAAGCCATTCTTGTTATGTTTGTATACAGATGTGCTATCTAAACTGACCTACTTTTGGATGTTGATGTTAAAGTTCAGATCAGATCACCTGACTCTGATAAGCCAGTCTTTGACTGGATCTTAAACTATAAAGTAAGTTTCTTAATATGTATATATACATATATATATTTTACAGTGATTTAATTTTTATTTTAATCATTGGGAATAATAAGTAAAATACATGCACCCTTTCATAAAACCCTGTCATGCTCCACATTTAGAATTCAATCTATCAAATAGTCAGTGTACATACCCCCATCTTTTTTTTTTCCAAAATGTTTAATACTATGATGCTTTCTGTTTTATCTACATGTGCAAAATTTGACACTAAAAATTACCATTTACTCCATGAAATCAACAAATTAACAAATTATGAGTTATCAATCATTATCCCAAAATCGTTTTTTAAATGCACATTCCTTCATCAAGCTCAAAATTTTATAATCATCATTTTTTGAAGCATTGTATTTTGTACATATTTTGGCATAAAAATATTAGTGCATATTGAAATACAAAGGCTTACAATTGTTTATCGTGTAATAAAAGGAAACTTTCAAAATAAAAATTAATTTAGGAAAAAAATGTGGAAAAATAACTTTTTTTTCAGGATCAAGTCATAAGCCCATAAATTTGTGCTCTTTTTAACACATGGCACCTTTCAAAAAAATTTCACAAATGATCAAGTTTTTTAAATTTATTTTAGTTAATCTGCTTAACTTTTTAATTCAATTCACAGTCATCAAGGAAAAATCTATAAAATGTCCACAAACACAGAAAATTTTATGAAAACAGAACTTAATTGAACTGGTTATTTTATATTATCAAGTAGTAATCCCTAGAATTTTGAGTTAATCGATCAACTACTGACTAAAATACTCTACTTTTCATTTTACACAACTTATCAACCATGACACTGAATTTAATGTTTAAAATAAAAGTAAAATAGGAAAACAAAGTTTTATGATCAAATGATAACTGCATTTATTTATGCCATCAAATGTCAGGGGGAATTGATTTTTTGATAAAATGGCTTACTTTAACCTGTTTTTATTTATTTCACTGACATCTATGAACTGCAGCATTGCAAGTTTTCTATTTAAAATAAATGTTAACCCCCTCCCCCTTGTATTAATTTTACTGTCCTTCTTTAAAAACACCATAATGAAGAATTAACATAAAAATAATGTAGTTAGACAAGTGTTATCTAAAAAAGAAAAAACATAAAAGACTTACTAGAACTAAATTTCCACTGCAAAATCTCACTACAGTATATTTTACTCCAGCATGCCAGAGGTTCATGGCGAGATACTTTCGACTTGGCGCCGCATATATAAGGCATGTAGGGACATTAACCGAGACTCTTACTTGTAGGAGTACAGTATATCCCTACTTATGCAATACATATTGATCAAGAAAATGTTTTAAAATTTTTCATTCTCTAAATGTAATTAAGAAATTCAAGCAGCTAAATGGACTGTTGAGAAGTATGGAGATATTTGTTACTTTGTTTTCAAAGATATTTTTTTTTACTTTTTCTGATCAAGTATCTGATTTCTTATGCATTTATAATCAACAGAACTGTCAACATGATCAGAATAATTCTGAGAGTAAATAAATACTACCAACTCATGATACAAAGTGACTTTTTTGTCTTAAACATTCAGGACCTTTGTTCACACACAGAAGAGGAATACATTATTACCACATTCATAAACTTACCATTTAAGCATAAACCTACATAATATGTGCGCTAAACTATTACACCCAAATATTAGTTTAAACATCTGCCATATCAAAAGAAACTCCTAAAACATTGGTATTCATTGTTTGACCTAGTTTTGAAATATTTGTTTACAAGCAAATTTAGACTGGTCTCTTACCAACCTCGAGATTTATGACGAGCAAAAAACGCATGGAATGAAATAGAAAAAAAAATTAAGTGAAAAGGCACACCCTGGTTTTCTGAAGAATGCATCGGTCCATTGGAAAAAGGTTTTTGAAATCCTACGCCTGGGTTCTGGTGGAGAAATTGGCATTCGTCGCCATAAACACAGTTCCCATTATTTACAAAGAAACGGCAAAGCGCCGGCTTTCTCCCCGATGGATTTGAAGTTGTCATGTCAATTTTAAACCAACTATTTGCAGATCGCGGCTATCATGGCTTGATCTTCAACATAAAACAAATGAACAATTTTCACCAAATGTTTCAGGTTCTTTAATTTTATTGCAGTGCGCATGTTCACAGTGGAACTCTGGGGCGATCATTGTCAGACAGGCGCTTCTGGAAAATCAGTGAAAGCTAATTACAGAAAAGTAGTACCTTTTCCTGACATTCCCATATAAGCCATAAGCATGAGGCCAAAATAACAACCATTCTCATGTGAGACTCCAAGACATTTTGAAAAAATTGCCATAAATTGTTTTCCTAGAACGTGTTTACAATGTTTCATTATTAAAAATATATAAAAAATTAGAATTTGTATTTTCGTGTAATAATAATAATACTTTCGTGTTTGAGCTGTCTGGTATATAAATGTACATTCTACAAAATGAAAAGATTTAGTTGAAATGATTTATTTGAATAGTGAACTTCGTACAAATGCATGGGTTTCTAAATAACATCTACGTCATCAAAAAATCACGACCACATTTATATTAATATGCTCTGGGCCTGGCAGTTAAGAGAAAAACAATGCAAGATAATAACTTTTTTTTTTACATTGTTTACTGTGCATCGATCTTATCTATGAGATTAATTTCAGTTAATAGCCAGTCCAGCAACAACAAAATACCAGTTCTATAATAGCTGCTCTTTGGGTTTGTCATTCATTTGAATATAAGAAATAAAGTATGTTTTTCAGAGAAGCTTTAAAGAAATTTTGGTTTCTTCTACATGTAATTCTTCTGTGCGTTTCGTCACCAGAAATTTGGCACCGGCGGGATAAACTCTCTCCCTCTCCATATACCGAGCATACTTCTCAATGTTTCTTGGTTGCCAATTACTTGAAGACGAATTGTCAATGGTAAATACAATCACTTTGTTTCCTGTAGGACCACACGTCGGAAACATGACGGCTTTCTCCAGTTCCACCGAGGAAGATACGAACGACATCCAGGCAAACTTAGTCCCAACTTGATATTTTTCGAGGTCTTCACCAGAAACTTGCATTCTACGGTAGGTGACTCTTCGCTCTTTGTGGAGCTTGTTCCAAAACAGGAGTAGAAGCTGATAAACGAGAACGTAGGGTCCCAACGCTAAATCATCTGCCGTTGGTTTGTAGTCTGTCTGACGCTGGCGCCTGAGTGCTGTATTGAGGTGATCGTACAGATAGGTCTCTTCTTGAGTATAGGTATTAATGATGGCTGCATAAAACTCTTCTTTAGTTTTACAATTGCTAATCTTCCGACATGTCTGATCACAAATAACATACACGGACTCATGGACTTTATCACGTATCAGTTTCCAGTGGTCACCCGAGGAATCAAGTTTGGCGAAAACGTATTTCAGAAGACCGTTGAACGAATGACCCTCGTGAACTTCAGGTTGAAAAGCAGTCTTGTACGAAGATAATGTGAGGCGGAGAAGTCCGAGCCCAAAATCTTCTGCATCGTTTGTCAGAGGTAGGAAAGTGATGGGAAGTTGATCGTGGAGTTGGTATGGATACATATCAAGGATGGGTTTGAGTTCATTGTGTCCAAATGCTTCAGCGACCTCCTGAGGAGACATTTTCCCGTCTGGACCTATCTCTGAGGTCCCTTCTTTAGCCTTAATGTTCTTATCACACGTTTTGAACTGCAGCAGATTGGCCACAACACCATGATTGTTCCAGAATACTGCCTGATGTAGAACTCCCCAGCGCCTGTTCTCTGGAATGCAGTTAATGAGGTACGACTTCTTCGGTTTGGAGGGGGTTCCCATTAACCTCCACACAGATCCCCATTCATTAATTTTGGCGGAAGCCATGAGCTTCTCTAGGTCCTCTGCATCCTGATTTATTTTACTCACAGCGTCCATTGTGTCAGGTTTTGCATGCTTAAGACATTTGACTGAGATAAAGATTTTTATCTCTTTCTTTTTTGAAACGAAACAAGTTCCTAGTATATTAATCAAAGCGAAACTTCTTTCGGTGTTTAAAAATTATCAATGGGATATAAATATCACCATCTAAGGTAATCAATAGATATGGATTTATAACTAGCTGTATGGTAATTTAAATAGTCTTTATTATATATATGTAGCGCAGGTCGAGCTGCGGGGGAGTCAGCTTAAACGGCTGAGTTGATAAACATTTACTGTCCGAGCGGGTTTTACTTAAATTCTCACCCCTCCTCAGAATAATGCTGAATAACTATGAAGTCTGTATAAAAGTTCACTAATTTATTTACATATCTACACACAATATTTACACATATAGTCCACACTTCACATTAGAAATAATAGTAAAATAATCCAGATGAAATGTATAAAATCCTAAACTCCCGCTATCCTGTCTAAATCCATTCTGTCTGATATTACAACAATTCACTATACGACTGCAACTGCAACTACTTTAACTGTACAAATGACCAAATTCGCTCACTTATATACTCTACCGAGTCTCCACAATGTGGGGAGTGAAAACTCTACCTCCTCTAAGTGGGGAGGCAATACATAACATTAAACAATGACCACCTGTGATTAACTAATTATCACTATAATTAAAAAGCAATAATTAACTGTCCTAGCTTACAAATAGATATTAAGACTAAACAGCTAAATAGAAAATTAATAACAGGTAGCTATAACCATGATAACAATCCGGAATCTGACAATCAACTATTATAAATTTGCTACATATAGAAATTCATAAGTCACACTTACGCGTTGAATGATAAAAAACTCGTTACATATGAAAATGTGAAAGATAACGAACAGTAATCAAAGTAAAAAGTTCAATTAAACAATACAAGTAGGACAGATCAAACAGGGATACTTAAAAACATCAGGGATGGAATCAGGTGCCACAAAAGAGCTTTAAATACACAAGTACATATTTACATGTATTTATTTCTTTTTTACATGTTTTATAGAGAAAATTTACTCTTCAGATAAGATTGACTAAAAATACACTAAGGACGCTTGACAAAATTAATGCAGAAATACACTATATCAAAATTCTATGTTTTAATTATTGAAGTTTCATAGATCATCCATTCATCAGTTTTAACGAAATGTTCGTTTGCTGAGGATTTTGGGTTCTTTTTGTGATGAGAAATTTGGCGCCGGCGGGATAAACTCTTTCCTTTTCCATATACTGTGCGTACTTCTCAATGTTCCTTGGTTGCCAGTGGCTTGGAGACGAATTGTCAATGGTAAACACAATCACTTTGTCACCAGTGGGACCGCAAGTCGGAAACATGACGGCTTTCTCCAATTCGACTGAGGAAGATACGAAAGACATCCAGGCAAACTTCGTGCCAACTTGATATTTGTCGAGGTCAGCAGCTGAAACGCGCATTCTACGAAAGGTGATGCAGCTCTCCTTGTGGAGTTTGTTCCAGAAGAGGAGGAGCAGCTGGTACATCAGAACATAAGGTCCCAGGGCCAAATCGTCTGCACTTGGTCTGTAATCAGACTGGCGCTGACGCCTAAGTGCCGTATTGAGGTGATCATACAAGTAATTCTCCTCGATGGTGTACGCGTTGATGATCGCCTCGTAGAAGTCCTGCTTCTTGGTGCATGCTTTAATGTTACTGCAAGTTTCATTGCAGACAACAAACACTGCCTCTGCAACTTTGTCTCGCGCGACTTTCCAGCGCCCAGGTACCGAGTTGACGCTCTGCCATACATCTCGCAGAAGTTCGTCAAAAGTTTTGCTCTCAGTGTTTTCGGGTTGGAAAGAAGTCTTGTAGGCTGCAAGCGTTACCTTCAGCAAACTTAGAGCGTAATCTTCCCTCCCCGACGGAAGTAAATGATAAGTCTGTGGACTCTGCACTCCGAGACGACTTGAATTATTCTGAAGTAATTTAACAATCTCAGTCCGCTTAAATCCCTCAGCAATTTCCTCGGCTGTTTTTCCACCAGTAGGACCAATTTCAGACACACCCTCCTTGGCTTTGATACCAATATCACATGTGTTGAATTGTAACAATTTATTAACAGCAGAGTAGTTGTTCCACCAAATGGCTTGATGCAGAACACCCCAACGCCTATTTTCGGGAATACAATTTAACAAAAATGGCTTGCGGGGTTTGGAAGGGTGTCCTAGAATCTTCCACACTACGTTCCAATGTCCCATTTTAGCAGCATACAGGAGAGAATTGACCTCATCTGCATCAGTCTGTATTTCACTTACGGATGTCATCTCTATACAGATGTGCTTGGATAGTTATTAAAATGAAAATAAGGTACTAGTTTCAAGTTCAGAAGTTTATATACGATCTCGAAAAACGAAAGCAGTTTTTACATGGTATTACCGGTATATTTAAATAAAATATTTTTCATTTTCTGAAAAAGAAAAGCTAAGCTTTAATGCTGGATTCTACAGAGGTTTTTCCACAGCTACCTACTGGTATTTTCCCGATCAAAAAATAAACCAAAATCATTACCAGTTGGTTCTGTTTACATACTTGCTGTCTACTTTTAGAAAATAACCCCCTGCAATTTTTCGTCTGAACTAAATGAATTTCGACCTGATATATAATTATGTACTTGTACATATATATCACATAGAATGTTATTACAAGAGGAATTGTGAACGAAGTTGAACAAGATACTGTCCCGATTATAAAGACAACATTTTTAATATTCTAGTATAAGAAACCACAGTGTCTCATTGTGTTCAAAGTAATTCTTCTGGAGATCATAAAACAACAGTTTTTATCCCTTAGACTGGACTAGAAGTATGACAAAATAAAACTATGCAAAACATAAAAATAACTTCAATGTTTGCTAGGGGATCTACACCGATAACAGGTGAATTATTATCTTGTGAATTCCTCCTTGACACATCTCAGCACAGTTACACAATATGTGTAATGGCTGTGAGATATCAAATACACTAGCAGAAGCCGATGAATTGAAACAAACTCTGCTAGAAAAAAAAAAAACAAACTTCAATCATTGACATGCATGTTAATATAGATATGCAATAATTATGTAAGTTAATTATAGATATACGAGTGTCGTTCAATAAGTAATGCGGTTTATGATAATACACGTAGAAGCACTTAAAGATAAATAACACAAACAAACTTTTTTCAGAAATCAGCAACAT